TTATTTCCAAAATCGGTTTAGGCTTTGTTGCGGAAATGTAAACAATTTTTTTTTGCACTATTTTGCCAATTTTAAAGAACTGTCTTGGCCGATGGTCTCGCAAACATAATCGCGGCCTCTCCTTAGCAAATTTTATCTAAAAAAAAAAAAAAAATTTAGAAATTGTCCGGCCGGTCTTCACCAAAAACTAATGAGAAAGAATGAAAAATATTGGTTGGGAACAATATTTCGAACGGATTTTCGGCTCACACATAATACTTTTTACAAATTTGGTTCCTCATCATTTCATACAAGTAAAATGTTTTGTAAATTGTTCGAAAATCGGTATCTGCATTCTTTCAAAGACTGAATTGCAATTTTTGCACTTATTGCAAAGGCTGGACATGCCTTTGCCTAAAACTAATCAGAACGTTTTATCATTGGGAATCGAACATAAATACATACACACACATGAATTTAAAGTATTCCAAAATGTACAGAAGTTTCTGAAACGTAAATATATGCTAAAAAATTCATTTTCAATTCTTTTGCAATTACTATAATTCCCCTTACGCAATATTAAAAATTACATCTAAGTAATTTAAAATTGTTTGATTAAAAAAGTGAATTTCTCCATATTAAAAAGGGCGCCTGGTCAGATAAAGCCTAGGGCGGCAGAAAGCTTAGTCCGCAAATAACAATTAAAAAAAGATGTTGAACCATATAAATCTAATAACCGAAGTATATTTATCAATAAAATATATATTGAACACCATTTTGTTGTAAATTCTGCATATTTATCTTGAAAATAAATTAAGAGTAGTAGCTAGCATTAAAAGAAACTTAGCATAAAAAATATTCTTATCCTTATCCGTAAAATACCAGCAGAGTTAAATCTATATATTTCAGGCTTTATAGAATATTATGTCATATAAAAATCTTATTAGTTAACAAAAGCATATATAGATGAATTTTAACTTTCGAATATTGTGTTGTGTCTAATATTTTTCGTAATTCCTGTAACATTTTCAAAGTGTCCTAATTAATGTTGATATATGTAGATATTAATTACATATAATACTTGCAGTATAATTACAAAATGAAATTAATCATATATTATCATTTTAGATTGTAGTATTTTCAATATAACTTCTTTGCTATAACATACTTTATTTTTTTTTGCCCCAATCTCCTGCATGCGCTAGGACGAATCCTAGATTTAATGTAATATTTTCTCTTGTCCAATCTTCATATTTTTTTTGTATGGCTTCTGGAAATGATTTTCAATAAATTTGAATACACAGATGTTAACTTATACCTCAACATGTTGAGGTATAATTTAACGTAACGTAAAGTTATAATATGATAATATGATATAATACAATATATAATATATAATATGATATACATATATTATTAGAATTATATATATATATATATATATATATATATATATGTTTAATTTGAGTTTAATATTCGGGCGTAACATCAATAAAAATATTTTTATTGATGTTACGCCCGAATATTAAACTCAAATTAAACATATATATCAACATCAAATTCAAGACTATTCAAATATATATGATATTATAATGATACATACGAATTATAATATTGGACAGTTTTAAACCAGTAAAATTTAGTTTTCCTTTTCTTCCTTTTGCGGAATACAACTTGGCCATTTCTTTTGTTAACAATTGTTGCAAAAGGGCGCGCACTGTCGCCCTTTCGTTTAGCATGTTTTGTATATTATCTGCCAGCTCATTTATCTATTATGAATATTTTTAAATATATATATATATATATATATATATATATATATATATAATATAATGATACATACGAATTATAATATTGGACAGTTTTAAACCAGTAAAATTTAGTTTTCCTTTTCTTCTTTTGCGGAATACAACTTGGCCATTTCCTTTGTTAACAATTGTTGCAAAAGGGCGCGCACTGTCGCCCTTTCGTTTAGCATGTTTTGTATATTATCTGCCAGCTCATTTATCTATTATGAATATTTTTAAATATATATATATATATATATATATATATATATATATGTTATAATGATACATACGAATTATAATATTGGAAGATTTAATCCAGTAAAGTTTAATTTTCCTTTTCTTCGTTGGCCTAATACAGCTTGGCCATATCTTTACAGCTTGGCCATATCTTTAGTTAACAACCGTTGTAAAAGGGCGCGCACTGTCGCCCTTCGGTGTTTAGCATGTTTGGCATGCTATCTGCCAGCTCATTTATCTATTATGAATATTTTAAATATATATATATATATATATATAACATATAATATATATATATATATACGATATATATATATTTCTTACCAGGTGTAAGGCAAAAGTTCGGTTTCTAATTTTTTTTCGAAGATCTCATTTCTTTAATACTTTTTAATGGTAAAACTGGCTCCTCCTCTTTGTCTGAAACTGAAAACATAAAATTTCAGTTTGATTTTCCATCATTTCTTGAAGATCAAGTGTAATTTCTCCAACATTGTCGACAAGT